TAACTGCGATACAAACTTCTACTCTAAGAATGCATCTGTTCAGTGTTTCTTTTTTGCCATATTTTGACCTTTTTTTGATCCAACATATTGTTAAATGTTTGAGCAATTTTAAATTTGGAAAGATAAACACTTACTACAAGTTCCTTAACGAGTTAAACACACTGAAGAAATCAGTTCACAATTTTATTTGGATAATAAACGAAATATACAAAATGAAAAGAATACTATATAAACAATAAATCTATATTTGCAATTACTTTTCGCTTTCCACCTTGTTAGCCTGAAATGAATTCCAAATCAAACAGATTATACTATTAGAGAGAAAGGTACTGCATTTTTATGCAGTAAACATTTCCTCAAAGTCATTTTCTGACTTTTCATTTATATATTTAAACTCAAGTGGTTTGAAACAAGACAACATTAAAAAAAGACGTATTTCTAGCAAAAAATAAAAGGCACTTTCTTACTTGAGAGGCTTAGTTGAGAAACAATTCTACTTTTTCCAATTTCTAAAGCCACCACAACGTGCTGCACAATCTGCTCCTCCTCCGTCACCCCACATACCGCCAGGACCCCAAGGACCCCAAGGACCCCAGCCACCCATGCCATAGCCATCTGCCCAAATATCGGCAAAGTTATCGCCTCTATAGCCCCATCTGCCGTAATAAGCGTCTGTAATCAAAGTTAACTTGTTTTTTCCTTTTTGGCAAAAATTGTTTCAGAAAAGCCACCTGGTTCTAAATAATTTTTGCCTTTTATCCAATCTTGCTGACAGTCTTAAATGAATAATCAAATAAGCTTACCAATGTCGATTTACCCTCTTAATAACAATTAAATAAATCTGAAAAGTGAATACACAATACCCGATTGAACGACAAAAAACAGTGCTAAAAGCAGGATAAAAATCGACATTTTAAGATGTAGTTAATGATTAATTTTAACTAAGTTTTCTGCGCTTTTATACTGTTAGTTGCTCAGCAATTTCTATTGCTTTTTTATTGAAAAAATTGCTATAAAAAAGTTACTTTATTGCTCTACTTTTTTAACATTTTTACATAATTTTTTTATACCGATAACAATCATAAAGTATTGATAACTTTTTTGTTACTTGAAATTACTTAGCATTTAATCATAAAAAACTTGTAATTTTTTTCTTCAAATTGGTGTTTTTTTCCAAATAGAAAATAAAAATTATAAGCAACAAACAAATTTTTTTTTTGTCAATCTACCAACAAAAGCAGCGAAACAGTTGCAGTCAAAAGTCATAATTTAAGTTAATCATATGTCTTAATTATAGTAGACTTTTTTTTTGCAGTTCTTACCGTTATCATTTTATTCCAACAACTCTTTGCAGAATTTATTATCATATTTTAACATATAATTTATTATTAATTCAAATTACTAAAATGTTTTTACAATTAATAACTGGAACAAAAATTTTTTAAAACAGAATCTTTTCTTGATCGTTTTTACAGCTTTCATTTTTTGGAGAGTTTCTGACTAGACAAATCGCTGAACAATACAGACGCTTTGTCTTTTTGTTTTTGAAGTAATTACTGTCTGTTATAGTGTTATGCTGGCAAAAAACAAGGTTTCTTTTGTGGTAAATTATCTGTGACGTCACAAATACCATTTGAATACTGCAAGCTCAAAAAAAAAATGAATTGAAAAAAATAAGGTTTATTTTTTCTACACTAATTCTGTAGACAACATTCTGTCGTCAACTAAGCTTTGTTACTGTAAGGTATTAAAACTGCAAAAGTGTAGAAAATCAAAACTATAAAAAAATATATAGCTTTTTTAGAAAAAAATTACTGAAAAAATTTTTTAAAAATTTAGATTGTTGACTATATTAATAGTTTGATTTGCCGTACTGCTGAACAGCAGCAATTAATAATTGGAACAAGGTTTGTCACCGCTTACGACTGTGGGAACGATAGGTTTTCGTTGCTCTATCCGATGTTACATCACTTTTTGATGTAATATAAGCAATCGTCGTTTACAGCATTTGCGGTAACCAAAATCAACACGAAATATTAGAATATTTAACGGATGTTAGTTATTTCAATTTGCTAGCTTATTATTCCTCTAAACTTCTGTTTTTGTTTACTTTCTTCTTTTTTCTACTTCTTTTTTTGGCAGTGAAATAACGTTAAAGCCATAAATTTTTATGCTAAACGTCTAAAAAATTATCTACAATTTTATAAAACCTTAATCTAGGATACCTTAGTGCTATGTTTGTACAGAGTAAAGCAAAGATTATGACAACTTTTTACAGATATAATGTTCGTATTACATCATTACAAACATTGATGCAAATTTTGTTGAGATATGTATTAGGCAACATTTACACCATTCTTGGTAATTCCTGTTTCGTTAAAACTGTTCTGCTGAATTCAGGCATTGCTTTAGCAATCACGGCAAGCTTTTTGACTGTCTAATACATTTTAACGGTCAACAGATGGATCTTGCAGTAAATAATTAAGGTTTTATTTACTTACTGTCTCAGTATTTGGAAAATTAGAAGTTAAAAACAGCATTGGCAGCTGCAACAAAGTTAGAAATACTGTAAAGTTTTGAGCTGAGTAAAAAATGCTAGGAAAAATTGTCTAAAAGTGGTTCCAACATTCCTCAAATGTATTGCCAGTACTAGTTAGAGAGCTGAAGTATAACGCTGTTAGGTTTCGCTGCTCGTGTCGCAACAGATAGATGAAGTGTAGTTACGCGAAAATCACTTAACTTATAGCTTCTTATTTTGTTTCACAAATACAACTCATAAATCGTATACCTTTGAACAAGTGACGTAGAACTGCAATGATTAAATTTAACCTTTCTAAACTGATAACAGTATTCGTTGTGTGCATTTTCATGCACTAATCTGACTTCTTCACTATCGGGAAGAATGCATACAGCATTTTAAACTGTGAGATTGTAAAAACCAAATAACACTCAGCAAATAGAATTTTTTTACCGAGCTCAGATCATAGTGGTGTTTGCGCTACTGTCCAAAATTATCAAAAGAAAAGTCCGCTGCAAAACGAAAAGCTAAAAAAGAGTTTTATTGAAGTGTCGATACTGCTAACAAAAACATTTTATCCAGATGTTGCCTAATACTACTTTTTTGGATACAATGCTTTACTAACAGTAGAAAGTGTGCTGAAATTAGAGTCTGGAAAAGTAGATCCACACTGTTACAAAAAAATGTTGAATGCGAACAACGTCATACAAGACCGTATGCTTATTAATTTATTTTATTGCAAAAGCCATAAAGAAATATTTAAAAGATTAAAATTTTATATATTCGGTATTCCGTTTGCCAATAGTGTCCGCATGTGCGAAATAATGTCTGAAAACAACAGAATATTTCATAAAAAATAAACAAGAGTGAAAATGCGTTTTTTAATAAATAAGATGATATTTGGCTGGAATGTTATAAACAAATTATTTGGTCATAGGCTTTGACCTCAATGTATCAGCTTGTTTATGCATGCTAAGACGGGATTTTTTCAGAATCTTAAGAAAATCTGACCTGAGCCTGAGAAAGCTGTTTATTTCTTCTTCCAAATTCCGTAGTTCATCCAACCGTTTCCGTATCCCCAGCTTCCCCAGCCAGTGCCCCAATATGGGTAGCTAAAAGCCTCAACAAGTGGGTACTCGTAGCTGTATCCGAAATATCCTGGATATCCGTAGCTGAGGTAATAAGCGTCTGCAAAAATTATTTCAGAACACCGCTGGTAGAAATAAGAGTATAAGTAAAAATAAACAATAGCAATTCCAAAATTGTTTTCTTTATCTTTTTTCTTTATCAAACCAAAAGTTTTACTTGTTTGTGCGGCGAGGAATAAGGCGAGGAAGACAATTAGAATTGACATGTTGAACGAAATTACTGGTTGTTTGAGCTTCGGTTTCGCGCGCCTTAATATAGCAAATCTGTTGCAAGTAAACCCAAAAAAACCTTATTGTTGTTTGTAAATTTTTTCTTGTAAAAAAATATTTCTATTCATTCAAAAAACACAGGTAAATTATTTCGGTATTCTTTTGTGAAGGTTACCAAAATGTAATGGCTTCTTTTTACCCCACCAAAATGGTTTTCTGCTGATTCTTTTCGCCCTATTCTTTTTGCAAAAAAAAAAAACGCTTTTTTCTCTTTTTTTTTTAAAAGCAAATCACCACTCTTCTCCTTTGTTTAGAACCGTCGTCTTCTTGCTCTTGGGGAAAGGAGTAGAGTAATATGCAAAGTAAGCACTTCAAAGTAGGTGCGCAGTTGTCTCTCTTTTGCTCCTTATTCAAATGTTTCTGTGTCACCAGATAAATGCCACCAACCGTACTGATGACCATTTAAGAAGCAAGCTAAGGTAGATGGATACAAGATTTAGAGACTTTCTTCTTTCTAAATTGCCTAATTTTTATATCTGTTTTGAGAGTAAAGCTCGAGTAAGAAATTTAAAAGAGCTAAAAATGACGATTTAGCAAAATACCGAGACAACAGATACATATAAAAGTAACTTTACAAATGACAACAATTTTTACCTTCAAAACGCAGAAGGAATAAAGCAAAAAATTAAGAGGATTTCTCCGAGGTTTAATTTGTAGGCTTTTGTTTATCAAGACTTTTTCGTTTCGCGACTTAGTTAAAATATACAGGCAGATGAGAAACGATTGAAAAATATAAATTCTTTTTTGTAACCTTTTGATGTCTCAGGTAGTGCAACGAAACGATGTTGCTAAAAACGATACAATTTTCATCGTCAAAGTCCGTTCTTACAGCATCATCCCTCTTTTGCTTCTTTTCTTTAGTAAGACTGTAATCTTGAAAAATTTTGTTTTTATCAATCTGATAAAGAGCAAAGCCTGCTTGTCTTTTGAGTATTTACAACCACTCAATGCTAGTGAAAAACGAACGGTTTAGGACAGCAAACACAGCAAAATCAGGCTGCAGTCACTGAAAAGTTGTTTAATCTGAGCTCATTAATACGTAAGCAGAATCCAGAAGTAAATGTGACACAAACATTTTAGTGCCAAATGTAAACCAGTTTCTTATCTAAAAAGAGAGATATTCAATATTTTTAAACGGTATATATAGTTAAATTATAAGATCTGCATTCTTATTTTAAAACAAATTTAGAAAAAAACCTTAACTTTTTTAGACTGTGTAGCAAGTAAGCGAGTCAACAGTCTTTTGCTGCATAAGATAAACAGAAAAATAAATAATTCTTTACTGTTGCAAAAACTTATAATTATTTCTTTAGACAAATAACTGGTTATTTAGCTTGATAAAAAAGTAGTTTTAAAAGCAGTCATTTCGATCAGTGTAAAAAAAGGGGCATAAACTTAACATCGGTGGGTATAGTATACAACAGTCCCCAGTCTGAGCGAAAAAATGCTGGATATCTCACACAAGTTTCATATTTAGTGTTTTTAGTTGCTTAGTCTTTAAGTATGTAGAATGTCTAAAAGTTGTTTTGAAAAATCTTAATTAAAATTAAAGAATTTAAAGTGACAACAGATAATCTGCAGAAAAATCTCATCTGACATTGCATTTAGCAGCAAATATTATTTCGTTTAAACTGCAAATCTAGATGAAAAAATTTATTGTTAATTCTAAACAGTTTGCTACAAAATGCTACACAATTTAGGAATTCCTGCTAATCAGTTCATTTCTGTTTGAAAAATACAAAGGTATTCAGGTTAGTTTCTGAGCAAATAATTTAGAGTGAAATAACCAGCAAAAAAATTTCACCATTATATTGTTTAAATGCTTATCAAACCTCGACTTTTCATTGTGTGATATATAAGCATAAGTTGCTACTTGGCTATCATTTGTCAGATTTCTTTATTCGTCTACTACAAAGATACAAAAATAGATTATTTAGTATACGAAAAGTTTCATATTTCTTCTAGCAGTCGTGTCT